AAGGCTATCGATTACTGTTTTTGCTTTCTCATTTATTATCTATGTATGCTCCTCTCTATTTACTTGTTTGTGTACCTTTTAGGTTTTTCTTAGAGGATGGACAGCGGTCATGGCATCTCTTGACAACGTTGGGGTACGGAACCTCAGAGCAGAAAGGTAAAAATATTTTTTCGTATTAATTTTAATAAAGTAATGGTTATTTGTGCTCAACGGTAAAAATACGAAATAAAAACTAAATATCATATTAAAAAGTAGTTATCCCATGCCATTTCTACTGCTTAGTACAGTCATGTACCAAAGGCAAACATTATATGGGTCGGGGTCCACTACTTCATTTGTTGTTTTGTTCATCAAAGAGTTTGTTACATGATAATAAATTCAATTTATTTACTTGATATAGAATCAGATGAATGAGTTAGTTTTTTTTTCCTATTCGGTGTCCGGTATTTGTATTTGGCCTCAACAAATTTGAGTTTCCACTGAGAAGTCCTGTTTTGGGGGAAGTACACAAATAGCCATTTTTAATATTACTATTTAGGGTTTAGTCAGTACTTATTTTGTTCTAAAAATTTAAACTTCAGCACTTTGTCCGGAAAAATCAAAATGAAAAATTGAAACTCAAAACACACTGACTAATTTCTAAATAGCAGCCAATAGAAATTATACCAGGTAGCTACTCTAAAGGGATATTATTTAGGGATTAGCCCGTGCATCCTGAATTTCAAGACAAAAATGTCCTGAGTTGTCCTAAAACAAAGATTTTTAGTTTAAAATTTTAGGAGAAAATAAATATTGACTAATCTCTAAATAACATCCCTAAAATGGCTATTTATGTACTTGCCCCGTCATTTCTAGGGGCGAACGGCACAAATAGCCACTAAAAGCAGTGGCTTTTATTTTAAAGCCATTGTTTTCAATGTATTTAGACTTTAGCCACTCCTTTAAAAAACTTATACCTGACTGGATGAAAATACCCTTCTGGTATAACTTATACCTACACTATCAACACAAGCAGCAGTTACACAAAGAGAAGAAACGAGCAGCAGCAACAGTTACCACAGCGGCGATCAACTGAGGATTGATAAAGTTATAGACATCGCCTCCTATGATAATTCCGTATTCCGGACATAGTGTCTTCATTTTAGAAATTGAATTCAAAAAAAAAAAATAAGAACACTATGTCCTTAACTTTGATTCTACTGGCCTCGTTTTGCAAATTGAATAAAAAAACTTAAGGACAAAATGTCCTTCACTTTGTTGTTGTTCTTCTGTATACAAAGTCCTGTAGCTTGAGTTTCAAATCGTATGTTTTAATTTCTGGTTCAAATGTTAANAACTTTTAATTCCATATTTAAATGTTAAGGATTGACAGTCCTTAACTTTAATTATATGTTTAAATGTTAAAGGACAGACAGTCCTTAGCTTTTAATTTCTGGTTCAAAAGTTAAGGGCATGCAGTCCTTAAGTTTTAATTTCTGGTTCAAAAGTTAAGGACAGACAGTCCTTAACTTTTAATTTATTGTTCAAAAGTTAAGGACTGAAAGTCCTTAACTTTTAATTCTATGTTTAAATGTTAAGGACAGACAGTCCTTAACTTTTAATTCTATGTTTAAATGTTAAGGACAGACAGTCCTTATCTTGGTCTTACACTTACAGTACATCTGTTCTTAATTCTACAAGGATTACTTTATAACGTATGTCCTTTGTTTCTCATTTTCTTGACTTGTAGGATGGAAACAATATGCATAATAGTTGCTTTTAATTGTAGATGGACTGAACACTATAAATATCTTGAAACAGAACATAAATCATGAACTAGAAAATGAAAAAGTACCCAATGCCTCGAGTGCCACCAGTTACAAGAGCATTCATGCCATAAAAGGACAATCTATTCACTTTTCCATTACACTTAGTGGCAGTAGCAGTAGTTGTGAGTCGAACTGAACTGCAATTCATCCATGGGTTTATTCTAAAGTTTCTGGGTTTTGAAAGTTGAAGTTTGTGCTTGAGAGAAGCAACAACAGTGTGTGAAATGAAGAGGGGTTCCGACATTTTCTTTTAGAGAGAGAGAGAGACAAGGGATTGAGGGATTGATGTGCACAGATAAGGGATTGAGGGATTGATGCTGTTGACCAATCATGGAGGAGGCCGACCATGAAATCACCTTGGGTATTCCAGATGAAAATGCAACGCGAAAGAGAGGAAGAAAGGGTAAAATTGTCTTTTTTCTATTAGTGATGGCTATTTTTGCTGAGCATTATAATTAGTGGATAAAAATTAAAGACACCCTTAATTAGTGGCTACTGCACGCCATTTTTACCATTTCTAGGGGTAAATATTGGGCCCATTAAGAGTTAAATTTTTTTTTAAAGAAAAATGACATTCATTCATAAATTATGATTATTTCTCTCTTTTGGTAAAAACCATTTATTTGGAGATACTTTCCGTATTTCCGAGTAACCAAGTATTAAATAATGATTTATAGTAAGATAACCTTATTTTAAAACCAAATGCGTAGGCCTCCCTCCGTCCTGATTTATGTAATGTTGAGCATAGAATTTAAGGAAAAAAAAATTATGCTGGTTGCATTTTCAGTCCAAGTTACGCTTGCATTTTCAAGTTGTAGACCTTAAATTTATTCTTCTTATTCGTGTTTACTACTTCATCAAAATCGGCATTATGTGTTGGAAATTATTTCATGTCTTTGTGCGGACTTGACAAATCAAATACTTAATACGCGAGTTGTTGGTGAAATACGAGTAAGCACTTGCACTGCTTCCTTTTTGTTACCCCTCTTCAAGTGCTCCCAATTTTAATTTCTTGGCTATTCGAATTTGTAATAATCGAGGAACAAAACAAGATCATTTCGTTTTACTTTTAGTAAAATAAAGAATATTCTATTAGTAATGAAAAAAGGGGTGGAGGGGATCCGTATATGTTGTTTGGGTCGATTAGAAGGTGCAAAAATAGCTATAACTGAATATGGAAAGTATGAAAAAATATCTCGTAATGTATTTAACCAGAAAATAGATTATGCTCCTGCGAGAGATTCAATTAATCGATATTTTGAAGGTGAAATTTAACCTTTATCGCAGAGTTGAAAATGAAAGGTACTTGCCACTTAAAAAACTCTTTATTATCGATTCCCGTGGTCCGTTCCAAATAGGATTAATCACACCATTAGGAGTCATCTGGTTCAGAGCAAAGATATCCAAGGATTTTAATCCTACGGAAAGTGTGCTATTTTTCTTTACACTCTGTTTGGATCATTGTTATTTATCGTTTTCTAATGTATTTCAATGTATTGTATTGTACTGTTTTATGAATATAATGTTTGGATAGATTGTATTGTTTGTTATTGTTAAATAGTAACATTTTGCTATTTGATTTGATTGTATCGTACTGTATTTATAACTGATAAGTTTACTAAAATACCCTCAATTATTTTAAATATTTAATTTATCAAGAATTACACATAAAAATAATTTATAAAAAAGCCTTTTCTGCTAATTTATCACCAATTATGTCTTATATATAAATTAAGAAATTAAATTAATGCAAATTCTATCGAAATTAGCTGAACAAGTTAATAATATTAAAAACAATAATAATAACACTTTACCCACTTGAAAACAACCAATATTATATAGCTAATCGGAGATAAAGTAATTAAAATTGGAATTACAACTCAAAGTAGAAGAAAGAATGAAACAAAAGGAAGGCAAAACCTATACCTGACGTTGGAGTTGGAAGTGGCAGTAGGAAAAAAGAGACAAAACGTAGGTTATAGGTTGGAGTTAAAATAAAAAAATAAAAAAGATAAAAGGGTGAAATGGAATTATAAAGTAATAAGTTAGGGCATAAATAAAAAGAAAAATAGGAAACAATCCCACCACACCTAATCGATTGTTTTAAAAAATGGGACTTTTCATTATTTCAAAACAATAGATTTAACAATACAATATAACTAATTTTAACTAAATAATCAAAACAAATATTATTTTGAGATAACAATACAATACCATGCAATGATAACAACCATCCAAACAAGCAGTGTTAGTAAAGTTTTTGGAGAGATGAGCTTCGCCTTTGTTAATTTACAAGTTCTGGTTTTCGTACGGCTGAAATTAATTTTTGTACAATTACAATATTATTTAAAAGTTAATTACAAGTGTAAGCTCAATCATGAACAACTCAGAAGAAGGGTGAGTAACCTATATTATAAGTAGAGTCGGTCAAACAACATACTCACTCCTTTCACTTTTATTTATCCACTATAACAAAAATATATTTTAACTTTTACTTGTCTATTATACTAATATAAATCAAGAGAAAAATAATCTTTTTTTCCTGTTTTATCATTACCATTAACTACTCATTCGCTAAATTATTTCTCAGGACTTATAGAAATGCTATCATTATTATGGATAAATCGTAAACAGAGTGAGTATATATATTAAACAAGGAAATCCGCAATCACTATCCCTCAGATGCGGACAGATAAACTCTGGTCCTATGCAATAACCCGCAAACTACATAGGAGGGTAAACCACATAAGACAAGCCTCGTGCAATGGGCTCGACTGAAGAGGTAGCAAGTATATTTCAAACTCTAGACCTCCTATATAGAAAGTTCCCTGCTCAACCGACTCGGCTAATCCGAAAGGTAACATGTAAAATTTAATTATACTGTCAGTAAATATAACTTAAGACTCTTTGGTTTTTTATCCAAGACAAGTATAACTGATGGGGGTGAACATTTGAATTCAAGTCTAACCGTTGGTTTTAACGCGCCAATGGCAGTTAGACAAGTTTTCGCGGAAAATTTAGGGTCAATAAGGAAAACTCTTCCACCGACCGAGCACCTTCTCGAAGACACTTCATTTTTTCTGTTTTTCATATCGCTACTCTCTTCTCAATTGCTCTTTTTCTGCTTCTGCGGAAAATTTAGGTTTCTCACTCCACTCCAATTTTCTAGCCAACTTTCTTAGGTATAGTTCCTTCTCTTCTCTTTCTCCACACACACAACCACCTATACTATGTGCAATATTTGTGTGTGTGTGTGAATATATATATATAATACAAGAGCGGATTTAGGCTCAAATTATATAGGTACATGAACTTATGGTCTTTCAGCGAAACTAAGTGTTTTATGTATATATTTTTTAAAATTGATTCAATACTATTTCCTGGCCCTCGGCCGAAGGTGTACTTGGTTAAATATTGAGTTATTTACCCTAAGGAGGAGGGATCAATTCCCCGCTAAATACTATTTTTCTTTATATATATATGTATGTAAGTATGAACTATGCTTGCTTGGTATATATATATATATATATATATATATATATATATATATATATATATATATGTAAGTATGAACTATGCTTGCTTGGTTTTTGTTAGTGATCATTCTGTTTGGTTCTGAATGTCATTCATCTTCATTTGATCATTGTATTGTGAAGTTTATTTGGTTTAGGATTGTGTCATATGATATATTGATATCAATTTCAGTTCATTTTCTTGTTTTTATCTTAGCTCGAGCTGTTACTATTATGGTTACTCTGTTTGAAGTACATGTTTCATGGAGTACTTGTTCTTTTTTAGTAGTACTATTTTTGAGATAAGATTTAAGTAATAATTGTGTAGTTAAAGAATATAATTAGAAACGTCGGGAAAATCATAGTTAACAAAAAAATTATGTCATGTAAAATGGAACAAAGGAAGTACTTCCTTTTGTCCCAATTTATGTGATATCCTCCCTTTTATATTCAGATTCCTTTTTAGTCTGTCATAAAAAGAACAACTTTCTATATTTAGAAATATTTTAACTTTATACTTCCTGTGGAATTGTACGTTTAGTAATCTATGGTGGTGTATATGGTTCCTCATACTCCCAATTTTTGTCCCAATCTATGCACGAATGTGTTTGTGATCCTGGTTTTAAGATTACTATATCAATAGTGATTGAATTTCTATTTTCTCGTTTATGAATTACTCTATCAAAAATTTAGAGATAAAGAAGCGAATGGATCCTATAGATTATCCTATGTATCCAACATTTATTCCTATCTATTAAAGAAAGATCTTCGTCAAATGCCGAGAATTTTCCTTTTATTAGGAATGCTAATATCCAAAGTTGCTTTTCACAAGCACCCGCCACATATAGGAGGCTAACTATCAGTAGCGAAGCCAGAAAATTGAATAAGGGTGTTCAGAATTTGAACATCCTTTGCCGGTGGGCTATGCAAGGGTGTTCAAAGCCTATTTTTTAATCAATAACAAGTAAAATTTTATCCACATTATAATTTTTTGGCGAAGGGTGTTCAGTTGACCACCCTCGGCCAAACATAGCTTCGCCCCTACTAACTATTTGCTTTTTGAATAAACTTTTGCTCTTGCTACTTGAACTGACACTAACATTATTTTAGTGTATATTTGTTTGGTTTATTGGAAGACTGGAAGTTGTTGCTCCTCTAAGATGCCATAATATTTGCTCTGTCTTATTTACAGGTCGCTGCATTGATCTGAAAACATGGGGGATGTTTCACAACATCCATCTATATATCAGAAAATACATGGGCGCTCGTGCCTGTTCTCTCGAATATCTCCCTACACACATTCTAAGCATACTGGTTCACACAATATGACTGTTGGATATGTCAATGAAATTATACACGGTCCTTTTATGGCGATTCGCCAAGCTACTATCCTGAAATTTGAGCCATTGTGTGCTTGTGTTCTTATACGGGCTCCATCTGAAGCTCCGTTAGAAAAGAAAACCACCAGTTTTATCGTCGATTTTCTAATGGGAGGAGTTTCTGCTGCTGTGTCTAAGACGGCCGCTGCACCAATTGAGAGAGTTAAGCTTTTGATACAGAATCAGGACGAGATGATCAAATCCGGTAGACTTTCTGAACCGTATAAAGGGATTACTGATTGCTTTACAAGAACTATTAAGGATGAAGGCGTCCTTTCTCTTTGGAGAGGCAATACCGCAAATGTCATCAGATATTTCCCCACTCAGGTTTACTAACCTTACTTTCTGTTGGTTGATCCAAAATTAAATTTGTCTACTATTGTTAAAGTAGGGTGTTACTTTACTTTTTTGTCATACTTAATGCTTTTTGGTTTCTTCTTAGACAAATTTGAGGGTACTTTACCTACCATAGTGGAGGTGGATCCAGGATTTAAATTTAATGCGTTCAACCTCACACTGAACTCATTGTACTGTTAAAATTATCGGTTCAGATATGACATTTGTTGAGATTTTAGTAGTTCTTACATATATATCTGTATTCCGTGTCGAAGGTTCTGGGGTCAGATGACCCATAGCCAAAAGGCGGCATTCGCCTCTGTACCAGAGATGCAGGAAATGGCTAAATTTGATGTTACCAACAACACGGAATATCTAGTGCTTCTACCATTGATCATCTGAATAGTGTTCACTGCATTTTGTTAAACATACTTCTTTATTGTTGAATTGAATGTGTTTTCTCGGAAGGGGAGTCTTGGAGCAACGGTAAAGTTGTCTCCGTATGACCTATAGGTCACGCGTTCGAGCTTGTGGAAACAACCACTAACGCTTGCATTAGGGTAGGCTGTATGCATCACACCCCTTAGGGTGCGGCCTTTCCCTGAACCCTACTTGAACGCGGGATACTTTGTGTACCGGGCTTCCATTTTTCTTTGGTTGTGTTTTTTCTCAAAGGAAAATTGTTGCAGCGATTGTGAAACTTTTGAAACTTTCTAGTGATAGGCATTGGAAACGAGGGAACTTACGAGTTGCATCAGTTATTTTGATTCGATAAAAGTATTTTCTTTTGTGACCTTTACTACTATTAATACTGAAGATTTGTCTTTACAGGCCTTGAATTTTGCTTTTAAAGATTACTTTAAGAGACTGTTTAATTTCAAGAAAGAGAGGGATGGCTACTGGAAATGGTTTGCAGGAAACTTGGCATCTGGTGGTGCTGCTGGTGCATCATCTCTCTTGTTCGTATACTCACTGGATTATGCTAGAACTCGCCTAGCTAATGATGCTAAAGCTGCGAAAAAGGGCGGTGAGAGGCAGTTTAATGGTTTGCTTGATGTTTACCGGAAAACCATCAAATCTGATGGTATTGTTGGGCTTTACCGCGGATTCACCATCTCATGTGTGGGAATAATTGTTTACCGTGGTTTGTACTTTGGAATATATGATTCCCTTAAACCTTTGGTTCTAGTTGGTAACTTGCAGGTATGGAGTATCTATCCTCTGGTTCTATGTGCTTTTTATTTCATGAAGTCCTAATATGCATGCTAACTGTTTAGATGCATATATATGTATGATTTATGTGTGTTTAGTCCTCATTATTTTTGTCTCTCACTGTTTTGTATGCATAGAATTGGTGGCTATTAATCAGTTGTGGAGTAAAAAATTTCTAACAAGGCGATTCAAAAAGCATTGCACTAAAAGCTCTTCATATATATATATATNCCATAAATAGCTCCACCACTGTTATTAACGCTGTCCGGGTGGATGCAACTTTGTAATACCGGATTAATTTGAACTCAGTACTTTCAATGCGAAGTACAAATTTATGTGCAAAAATCTACTAAAATTGCAATATACAGTATATACGACCCCATAACTTCAAATATATGATTGGTTCAATGATAAGAATCGTAAAGTTGAACCCACAGAACTTAAATCTTTGATCTGCCTCTGAACATTGTTGCTAGTTTTGGTGTTCACAGGATAGTTTCTTTGCGAGTTTTTTGCTCGGGTGGGGTATTACTATTGGTGCTGGTTTGGCGTCTTACCCGATTGATACAGTGCGTCGACGAATGATGATGACTTCAGGAGAAGCAGTCAAGTACAAGGGCTCACTAGATGCATTTTCTCAGATAACGAAAAGAGAAGGCACCAAGTCACTTTTCAAAGGTGCTGGAGCTAATATACTACGTGCTGTTGCCGGTGCTGGTGTGCTAGCAGGGTATGATAAACTGCAGCTCGTTGTTTTCGGAAAGAAATATGGATCTGGTGGCGGCAGTTAATATGGTGCAGTGATAATGCCGAAGATGACCGGTTAAGGTTGTGTAGATTATTGTTGTCTGTGTCTGGCTTTTGAATAATTTTCGCGAACAATGTTATCGAGAGTCTAGAGGTCCTCAGTTATATCTTGAAAGTTTATGCAAAACTATACAAATTTGTGGTTGCTTTTACCGTTAGAAGCTACTTCAAAGTTACATCTGTGGTTGTCTATATGAAAAGATGTACTACAATTTACCTTGAGAGTGTATAGTCTTATTCTATTGAGCATTTTCATCAAGTGCAAGTTCCTTCACAAATTTTATACTGAGTTGTTTTGCTTCAATTCCTTTGTGTTTCTTGAGATCTGTAGTAATATTAGTATAAATTGCTATGGTGGCTTAGTTGGGGACAGTGGCGGAGCCAAAATTTTAATAAGTGGTGTTAAAATATAAAAAGATAAAACATATGAAGAAAATAAGAGTTAACATATACTATTTATGTATAAAAATAAATTTTTGACCTAGTTAAATAATGTAATTTTTTTCGAAGAAGGCGTGTCAATTGATACCCCTTTAACATAAGGTGGCTCCGCCGCTGGTTAGGCATAGGCTCGAGCAATAAGAATGCAAAGTTTCTTGTTGAGAATTCACATTGTGAAGTATGTTTTGCATTAGTATCATCAGTTAATTGACCTTTTTCTAGAAAACTTTACAACAACTAAGCTTCAATCCGAGCAAGTTGAGATCGGCTATGTTGCACTCTATGCTTGCGAGTCATATAAAGTTTATCTTGAATGATTAATATTAAGTTAGCGATGCGTGTAAATATAATTACAGTGCTTATTAGTTGCAGAGAAGCTCGTTTTGTGACGGTAACTATAATAACATGAACGAAAGGGTGAAGGGTTCTGGTGATCAAAGGGAGGTGTTTAGCAATTGCGACTTATATACCGGAATGCGACTTATATAATTCGCAGTCGCCAATTGCGACTTATAATTCGCAGTCGCCAATTGCAGCTATAAATCGCAATCGTTAATTGCAGCTATAAATTGCATTTAGGAATTACGCTCACTCCTTCAAAACAATTTAAGGATTAGTTACGCTAAAATACCCCATTTGATTCAGCCTTAGATACACCTACTGTGTTTTAAAATTAAACACTTAAACTTAATATAATATGAAAATCCTACACGTATATCCCCATGAGTTATATCTATAATTAAGTATATTAAAAGACAAATTAAAATTAAAATTATTTATATATTTATTTCTTATTGACTTTTATGGGTAATTAGAAAATCTAATTGATCATGAAGAATGACTTTACTAAACAAGCAAACTAACTCAATCAGTTCCAAAAAAAAAAGAAGCTAGTAACAAAGATATTTTTTTTGTCAAGAGGATACTATGTTATAATACTAAGTTAAGATTGTTCTTACATTGGACTGTTGAGAAGTTAAGCCCATCGTACCAAACGGTGAGTAGTCCAATGCTACATTTACAATATTACAACTTTTACTTTTTCTTTCACAAATAGTTCTTAGGGTGTTTGCCAAAGGTGCTTCATTGACAAACACCGGAGGAACTACCAAAAAGTTGATACATTCTCTCAATTGTTTCCCTGCTTTTGTTGCCAACTTGTCCGCCACTCTATTGCCTCTCTGAATGTGTGGTTTACTGGTAGATGTCCCAGCGCTGCTAGGAGAGACCTGCATTCACAAATCAGGGGATCATATATTAGATGACCTTTATTTATGCATTGTATTATCTCTGTCGAGTCCACAATGGCCTCCGAGGGCACTAGATTGTTTGATATTACCATTTTTAGGCCCTGCAAGAAAGTTGTTAGCTCATAATGGAGGGTATTTGTGCACTTGATTTTCCCCATGTACCCTGTTACCCAATCCCCATTGTTGTTTCTAATTACCCCTCCTATTCCCCCCATTTTATCTTTTTGATTGTAAGCACCATCAGTGTTTAGCTTGTAACAACCCCTACCTGGGAGCTGCCATTTAACAGAGATAACGATATTGTGTCTGGGCTCTTTTCCTCATATTGCTATGTGCAAGAATTCTGCAGTCTTGTTAGTGGCGACTCTAAAGGGGACATATCCTTCCTATGGTTGAAGCTATTGATGTTCCTGGTTATGAAATGGATTAAGTGACCCCATTTAAGAAAGTCATTGAAGGGTTGGTGCTTAACCTTGTTAAGAGTGTGCACCCGGTCTGCTTGGCTAATAACAAAGTTTGGGATACTAAGGTTGGAATGACTTTGCTCAGCTAACTTCTGCCGGCATTGGTTAGCATTGTCACATTTGAAGAGTAGGTGTTATATGGTTTCTTCCTTGTTGTTATAGAAGAAGCACATGGGGTTTAGGTTCATACCCCTTGAGTGTAGGTATTGAGTTGTAGGGAACCTAGTATCGGTTACTACAACAACAACAACAACGGCCAGTATGGGTTACTAAAAAATGGAAATATTTTATCTTGTTGAACAATTTTTGACCCCATGTCCAGTTGAAGTCTTTCCCAAAGTTGTAGACTTGATGATGGTTCTGACTTCCAATGAGGGTATAGGCAGTTTTGGTTGAGAAGAGGCCACTATCCGTTTGGTTCCAAATAATCTTATCCAGATTGCCAGAATTGGAATTAACAAAGATAGACTTGATAGTGGACACTACCTCCTCAGGGAGGTCAAATGAGATATTACTGATGTCCTAGTGACTCTCATTATAGCATGTGCCTACATTCAAACTCTCCTCCCCCTTGTTGAGTGGGCCACCGATAATGCTCTTAAGGGACTCTATACCAGGGATCCATTTGTCACCACAAAAGTTAATTCTACCCCCTTATGAACTACCCATCTAATAGCCTTACTACAGACCTGCCAGCCATTTTTGACATTTTGCCAAGCCCTAGAGGCAATGTGCCTAGAAGTATGGGTGTTCATGGTTCGGTTTGGATCGGTTTTTCCGTAAAAAGTAACCAAACCAAGTAAGTCAGTTCTTCAAATATTGGAACCAAACCAAACCAAACCAATTAAGTCGATTTTTTATCGATTCAGTTTTTTATCGGTTTTGGTCGGTTTTTCGATTTTTTCAGTTATTTATCCTATTTTTTCATAAATATGAGACAGACACTATCAAACACATATTTCGGAGACTATATTTTTAACGTAACACTATCAAACCAATTACTCTTTGAGAAATCTATCACTTACCAAGATATATTGATGATAATTGAATCAAATAGTAATAAATAATTTACGTACTCAATTAAAAATTAATTATTTTTAACATGAAATAAATTCTTGTACTTAACAAAAGAAAACTATCAACTAAACTAGAATGTAAAGACAAAGAATTAGATTATTATAATAGTAAAAAAATAGACTAAAAATATAAACGACTAATATGTACCATAAAATTTTAGAACCTTTATATAAAAATATACATATATATAGGTATAATAATAAATTTAAATAGCTACTTCTATAGTCGGTTTGGTTTGTTTTTTTGGTTATTTTTTGATTAAAACCAAAACCAAACCAAATTTGATCGATATTTAAAATTCAAAACCAAAACCAAACCTAAAAAGTATCGATTTTTTCGGTCGGTTTGGTTCGATTTTCAGTTTGGTTCAGTTTTTCGGGTTTTTATGAACACCCCTACCTAGAAGGGTTTCTGCTAGTACAGTGCTTGTGGAATAGCACCCTGAACCACATGGCATTTGTATTATTGTACATCCTCCATGCTAGGCTAGTGGGTGGAAATGTTTCTGTTCTCAGCTGTCTACACTCCCAAACCTCCCTTCTTCCTTAGGCATTGTCACAGTTTTCCACCCAATTAGGTGCATTTTCCTTTTGCAGCAGTGGTAACCCAGATGAAATTTCTCTTAATTCTATCAATTTAGTTGCACACCTGGGATGAGAGTGTTATGCATTGCATGACATGGCCAGGGATGCACCCAAGAAAGAACTTAGCTAGTATCGGTCTCCCAGCCATATTCAGGAAATGGGTTTTCCAGCCTGCAAGCTTAGTCTGCATGCTATCTATTGTAAACTGATAGTCTCTATTGATGGGTCTTTTGTGGAAGATGGGAAAGCCCAAGTACTTAGCAAAAGAGAGGCTCGGCTTAATTGTCAATATCCTAGCTAGTCTATCTACTTCCTCTTGGTGGCAGTTTGTGGAGAAGATAACCTTAGATTTGATGTTATTTACCTTTTGGCCAGACTTACAGCTAAACCTTAGAGGTGGGAGATTTTTGGCCCTGTTTGACTGATCTTTATGAGAAACCATTTCCCATTCTGCCCTTTTGCATCAATGTTTCTGGAAAGTTTCTCCCTACAGATTATGAATATGTAGGGAGATATAGGATATCCCTGTCTGATGCCCCTACTAGGCTTAAAATACTCAGTCATACTCCCATTGACAAGCACAAAAATAGAACTAGATGCAGGACATAATCAGTTTGGTGGTGGTGCTAAGGAAACCAAAGTAAAGCAATGTGTCTATGATAAAAGACCATTCTAACCTATCAAAGGCCTTTTTCAGGTCAATCTTTAGGATCATGTTGGCATTTCTGCCTTTCATTTTCTTAAAATGACTAATGGATTCTTGCACAATAATGGTATTATCGCAGGCTCTCCTGTTAGATAAGAAGCTAGCTTGGCTAGGGCCTATGATAGAGGGCGGCATATGCTTAATTCTGTTAACAATGATTTTAGTGACCAATTTGTACATAGTATTGCATAGGCTAATAAGTCTGAAGTTTTTCAGCACATTTGCATTAGCACATTTAGGGATTATGCACAGATGGGTGGTATTGACCTTAGGGTTCATTTCAAGGTTGTAGAAGATCTGCTTACAAAAGTTGGTTACCTTACTCTCAAGAATATTTCAGTACTTTTGGTAAGACATTGGATGTAGGCCATCAGGCCCATGGGCTTTGGAAGGTTTGAAAGAGAATGAAGCAATCTTTATCTCACTATTCCTTGGGGGGCACTAAGAATGTTTAGGTCCCTATGTGAAAGGGTATGAGATTCATGAAGGGGTGGTATCTCTACCTTTGGTGGAAGATTGATTATCAGTGGTGAATCGGGATGAGTAGAGCTGGATAATAGTATCCTCAATTCTCTTATGGTCATCTACCCACTTCCCTGCCTCATTTTAGAGGGCTAGGATCTCATTCCTTCTTCTCCTGTTGAGAATAGAGGAGTGAAAGAATTTTATATTGGCATCCCCCTGCATAAGCCAGTTTATCCTAGATTTAATTTTCCAGAATTCCTCTTCACTTCTAAGGATAGATGAATAGTCTTCTTGGAGTTAACCCTCTAGATGTTAGAGGTATGGACTGAAGGGGTAGGCATTGGATTTTTGGATACCTCTAAGCCTAGCTAGTAAATGTTCCTTCTTATGGAAGATGTTACCAAAGACTGTTTTGTTCCAAGTAGTAACTTGGTCTTGGAATTTGGTAGTTCCTTCAAGAAGGTTACAGTTACCTCCATAGGCCTGCTGCAACACATTAGTGAGGGAGGAATGGCTGCACTACATAGGCTCAAATCTAAAAGCTTTAATGAGGTTGCTAGGCCTAAACCAAAGATTAATAAGCATAGAGCAGTAATCAAAGTGGGTTCTAGGAAGGTGTCTAATAGGGGTGAGCGTTCGGTACTCCGGTACAGTATTTAATAACTATGGTTCGGTACTTCAGTATATCAATTGTGCATACCAAATACCGTACCAAAGTAGTTCGGTATTTACTTATTTGGTTTAGTACGATTTCGGTATCATACCAAAACCTTTCAAATCTCCCAATATTATGTTATACCTATTGCCTAACGTCTCTTCTGACTTCTGCTAAGAATTTAACCACTCAAAGGCAAACTTATAAAATATAATCTTGATAATTAAATAGAGAAAACTAATCTTTTGCTAGTGCCCGTAGTTCCGTTGTCTCTAAGCCTAAAGAGGCCGCTAGGCGCGCTAAGGGATTAGGAAATTAGGGGGCTTAGGGTATTCGGCTTAGGCTTATTTGGCTGAAAAATAGAAATAGAGTTGGGCTTGGACTTATATTTAGGAATTTTTGGTATTTCGGCATATCGAAATATCAAAAAATTAATACCAAATACCATACCGAAATACCAAATTTTTTGTACCGAAGTATATCGAAAAACTAATACCGAAATATCAAATTAATTCGGTTCAGTTTGAAATTCAATTTTTCGTATTTTATGCCCACTCCTAGTGGCTAATTGTACTTGAAGGGAATTCCTGGATCTAATCCTCATTAGCAAAATACTTATCTAGTCTTTCCAATATTAGTCGACTTCTATTCCTTTATCTCATGTTAGTCAGGTAAATTTGTTGCCTTTAAAACCAAGGTCAATCAGCTTACACTGGTTTATTTATTGCGAGAAAAGATTAGCCATAAGAGCAGAGATGCAATTCCCCCATACTTGTCTCTAGCTCTCAAGACTTCATTGAAGTCCCCCTACTAGCCAGCTCCCCTACTAGCCAGCTCCCCTGATAGTTATCAGGGATAGTTTTGAGTTGCTGCCAGAGGTTCCTCCCAAGTGCATAAGTGTTACTAGCTTAAACAACCATGAAAAGTCAAGAATTGGAAGAGGGGATTACCTTGACCATGACATTAATACCCTGGTATGTGGTGGAAACTTCATCAATTTTGAGTTGGTCATCCTTTCACATGATGACAATGCCCCCAGACAGGCCAATAACTGGGCTTTGGATTTGCCTAAAGAATCCCAGTTCCTGACAGGTGCTTATGCTTAATCATCTTAGTTTCTAGGAGGACTATTATAGCAGGCTTAGTGCATTTTAACCATCTCAATACAGTGCCTCCTAATCTCACTAATGTTGGCACCTCTAGCATTCCAGATGATGAAATTTATTAACAGCTTGAGGTATGATGGGGAATTCTTTTTCAGGCATTTGGCCTTCCCTTTCACAGGGTTGTCCTCCATGTTCACTTGTACAGAGCTGTCTTGTTTGTCTTCCTGAATTAGAACTGGGCTTAGCTTTATAGATGAGTCTCTTGAGTTTGAATTTGAGGCTAACCATAGGCTTACCCCGCACGGTTTCATGCTTTTTGGGCATAGTGAGATAAATACTTCTCCCACATGCCCTCTGAACTCTATTAACTCCTTCTGTTGTAGGAGCACTGCCTTTGTTTTTGGTACTCCCATCTTTGCGATCAGGACCGACACCTCTGTGTTGGAGGCTTGCAGGTGCTCTTGGACCTTTTCTGATCCTACTATCTGGGTTTTCCTAGAGGTGGGGTCTTAGTCCATGCTGGTGTCCATTGGGAGAATAGGGAGGGGGGTTACAATCTCCTCCCCTGATGTCACTAGGGGGGAAGAAGGGTAAGGAGTGGATGATCTAGTCCATCAGTGCACTCAACTAATTTGTTGGTTGAGCGCTACCTAGACTTGTACCAAGGTTTCTAGCCACAGTTGATGCCTATAGTTCAACATTGCATGGTTGAGGCATGCAGTGGCTACTTGGCAGATACCCTATTTAGAGGTTTAGTGGAAAGGCTGCTCCCTGCAGTGTTATTTCCATCCAAGAGGTGAGAAGGTGGTCTGGTAGCAGTGAGGTTGTTGTTGTCACCATTAGAGGCACTTGTTCTTCCTCTATGTTCTGGTTCTGAGGGGGAGTTTGCATATTGTTCTGATTCTGATTATTTTCTATCGGAGTAGGGGGTAAAAGAGTATTGGATTGTAGAAGGCATCCCTTTAGTAGTTCTTAAGGCTTCATTTGCCTTAGGTGGATTTTGTGCACACGATTTTCCCATCATTATAAATTTTTTGGAGGCGCTGGGACTGTCAAGTCAATAAGAGGCTAAATGTAGTGGGAAGGGAGAGGTGAATGAGAGCTCTTAGTGGGTAGCTCTCTCAGAGAGAGTAGCTCTCTTTCCTATTCATCAAATATGAGGCTATCGCCTATGGATTTAACCCCAATCGTGGGCCCATGATATGACCTTTGGAGAAGGTGGTTGGTATCATTTTTGGGTTAGAGGTGGGTATATCGAACTTACCTCTATTAGTTGTTACCTCTTTCCCTTGGAAGACATGGTCTTTCTGAGAGGAGCGTATTTGGTTTTGGCGTGTGGTCTTCGTGTGCCCGCTCTTAGAGTTGGGTTTGGACACGTGCTTGGGCTTTGGGCTAAAAGCTTTAACCTCAAAAATGTTTAAGACTCGGTCAGGTTTTTTTTTGACTATACTATTATAGACCCAAGTCCGTTGGCCCATCTAGGCACAGAGACTTGGCCCCATTGTCTTTTCTTTGGCCCTGGACTTTTTGGCCTGTTAGGATTTCAACCCTGGTCATCGTTTCCCTAAGTCCCCAAGGATGGCAAACTTACCTGCCTCCGGCGTTACATGGCCAATCTCCCATCCATTTACCTTCTTAACCATGTGTTCTTGTTTTGGTGGATGGTATACTCTTGCTTTCCTTCTGGTCCGTCTAGGGAACTCCACTGTAATCGAATCCTTGCCTCACTTTAATTGTGGTTTCGCCGTGGATTATTCTGGCTTCTCCATTGGTTTCAGAGTTCGTGTAGCTGTGCACTTCCCCGTTGTGTGACCTATCCTCCCACACCCTTTATGCAAGATTCCCCCTCTCTCGTATTCAATCTGTTGTTCGTGCTCTCAAATTACGATGGAAGTTCTAAATGGGATGTCTACGGGAACTTGAATGCAAATCCCTACATATCTACCTCTGAGAGTGGCAGATGTGCAAGTATTAATCTTCAATAATTTCCCTACTTTTTTCCCACTCTTTCTAGAATCTCCTTATCATAAAACTCGGTGCGTAATTGGGCAGTCTGATCCATGTGGCTGTTAATTGGATCTTGGACTTTTTCGAAACATAATTGGGTTCCCGATTTCGGTCTGAGAGGAAATGGCCCATAACGAACCATGGGCCTCCGTGTAGGGCCTTCTCCATATTAACTTTTTCTTGAAACTTCACAATGAAGAAGTCCCAGCCCAAGTCGATGATAGTTGGGTGCTCACTGGGGCACCATAGCTGTTGGAGCTTAGGTTTGAGTATTTGATGGATTAAGAGGATTTTCTCCGCATTTTCTTCTTCTAATGGAGCTTTCAGAGCTGCATCCACTTGATGGTAACTTGTGAGATAGACGCTTGACTTTGTCAAGTGATTGTCGTTCAGAATTTCTTTGAAGGAGTTCTTCATTGAAGAAGCTTCAATATCCGTTGGTGCTACTGTGGGATCCGATGGATCGGGTGATTTTCGTAGTGGTGAGGGGAATGGGTCCTCAATAAGGGATGGGGATGGAGCCATGTTAGGGGGGTATCATAATTGAAGAGAGAGGTAAGAGTCTCTCTCTAGAACCATAAAGAGCTATTTTTTAGTAACAAAAATATTGCCCCTACTACATCACTACAAATCATACTCACAAATATAGGAACTAAGAAACATAAAGGTAAAAAATATAGGCTTTGCAACTCATTTCTTACTACTCCCTCGCTCGAACTTGCATATATAAGCAATTTCTTTTGCAATATTATTGACATGATTGTCTTTCTGCTGAAAAATTAAAGTTTATGTATGGCATCCAAAAGTGGCTAGCCAAAAGTGGCTAGCAATCCATGTAGCTGAAATAAATATCATGGGAAACTAGAGTAAGAATTTCGGTAGAAGCAAAAAATTAGGTGATTTTTTTTCATATGCATACGACAGAATAAGGTGATTTACTAACATGTAGTCAAGCTAATATAGTACGTAAATGTCATTTTTATCATAAATTTAGAGCCATGATAATGAAAAAAATTATGGTAAGGTACTTTCTTTTTTATTCGATCTTACGTAACACAAATTTAAATTAGTTGGACTTCAATACGGATACCCGAGTAGAAAACCAATAAAAAATATTTACCACAAAATTTTATTTGTATTTATATTTAATTTTAAAAATATTTTTCTTTCGTCAAAAGTCAAATTTTAGTCAATTTTTTTATTTTTATATTTCCTCATTCTTAATTTTTTGGGCTCAAACCTTTTAAATTTCATTTTCTCAAGTAAACCCACCTTCTCATAAGGAATTTGACTGTGGGCACGTTTCACTCTTTCTATTTTTATTACGTTAGAAAAAAATAAACCCTGGCAAAAAATTGAAGCGCGTTCAAAGCTTTGAACAAGGAGAGCAAAAGCTTGCACTGTTCTAGAATCTTCCCATGGAAGAACGAGTGAAAGGCACAGTGACGTCACTATCGTCATTGTTTCCGGTAGAAGAAGCCCAGAAAGCATCGAAGCGCGTGCAGGACACGATTGCCGACCGCCAGAAACAGCTGGACCTGCTCCGAGATTTCGCCGCGGACAACAATAACCTTATTAACCTTGTTCAGAGATTGCCTGATCAGCTTCACCACGATATCATGGTAATTTTCTTATACCTTTTCCGTTTAATGTTGATAGTGTTAAGATGTTTACACTATCAGGTCGCTTTGGTATGTTGTAGCAGGTAATCTCCTTTATCTCGAAAATTACAAATGCCATTATTTCAGAAGGATTTACCAGTGGATATTTATTTGTTGACTTGATAGATTGAAAATTCTCGCTTATCAAAGAGAAGCTTTTTCCTATACTATAGTGGCAAGCAGTGGCGGAAGCACAATTTTTCACCAACGGGGCTCAAAAAATAAAAAAATATAAACACACAAAGAAGCTAAGTGCGTCAACACCTAATATATAGTATACATGAAAAAGAAAAATTAACCTTTTATATAGTGTAAGTTTCGGCGAAGGGGGTTTGACTGAACCCCTTCTGCCCACCTAGCTCCGCCCTTGGTGGCAATTCTATTGTTGTTTTTTGGAATTAGGGGAAACAAAGCTTCAACAAGTAGAAGCTTCCTTGAAAAGCTTCGAACCAAGAGGTAGGCTGTTCACTGCACTGATTTGAGTTCACTTTACTTAAGATTAAAGACAGGGGTTGTGCCGGTGTATATTAGTTTAGCTCCAGGTCCATTTAACTTATACACAATGACAGTTTTAAAAGAATTTTACACTATCTGGTCGCTTTTGCATGTTGTAAGCAGGTAATATGACTTGATTTGACTTATTTTTAAGATTACAAATTTCACTTTTAAGAAGCTCTACTTATATAGAGTAAAATAACACTTCGGTGTATATAAGTTAAACTCTTATATATATGATTAATGTACTGTTTCTTACAAATTTTCAGGTCCCGTTTGGAAAAGCAGCATTTTTTCCCGGTCGTTTGATTCACACCAATGAATTTCTGGTAAGATTTTTCAATAATTTCATGATGGTGCTGACTTTTATCTTTTTCTTGTGTCATATTTTCCCCAGTACTTTGAATTTGCTCAACTTTATCCTTTGTTTCACTTTTGGTCCATTCATACCCGTTGTTAGGCAAAAGTCCTGTACTTGCCCTTGACCTCTAACGGAGCTCCAACCTTAAGGTAATTTTTCAAACCATTAGTCCAAAGTATAGGGATAAACTTGTACTTCTTTTCTGGTGCATATATGGACATGTGGGGTCCACCTATCTTACATTAGAGCTCTGTTAGGGGTCAAGGGCAAAAACAATACATTCCTAACGGTGGGGATATGAATGGACCAAAAGTGAAACAGAGGGTAAATTTGAGCAATTTCGAGTTGTACTAGGGAAAATTTGGACCTTTTGTATTGATATTAGAGCTTCTAGCTATATGAGCTTCGCGAAGCATAGGTGAAGGAATGCAGTAGGTTTGCGGCAGTGTAAATTGTTAGCTATATGATGAATAATCTAACTGGACACTAATAGAGCAGAATAGGTTTAGTGGATTCATATAGCACACCCCAAATTATTTGGGATTGAGCTCTAGTTAAAGATATTGAATTAGAGCTGCTGAACTTTGATTTATGTCTGAGTTTATGACATTTACTATATGCTGATGCACACAATGGTTTAAACTAGTGATTTTTTTTATTTTGAAAAAAAAAAGGTTGCTAAAAGAAGTTGAATACCAAGATTTCGCTTAGCATGCTTATCTAATTTCAGATTAGTTAACCTGGTTTTATTTGGAATCCAAGGAGACATATAACTTTGCCTTTCTCCTTCTTTCTTGATTTAAAATGTTCCTGTGAATTGCCTTTCTTGATAAAAAAGAAGCCATTTCTTGTTGTTGAATTCCCTGGTAGTCATATTTTTGAGTTTCTGTGTAGGGTTATTTTCCTTACAACTGTTTTACTGCTTTTCTGGCGTAAGGTTCTATTGGGAGAGGGTTATTACGCAGAAAGGACATCCAAGCAAACGACTGAGTTACTGAAAAGAAGAGGGAAGGATTTAGAGTCCCAAGTGGAATCTGTAAAGGCTGTGATACAAGACCTTAAGGCCGAGGCTTCATTTTTTGATGCTACAGCTTCTGAGGCTGCGGTATGCCTGTTTGTTCAGTCATTGGATGCTTGAACGCTTTCATATTACTTATCTTAAATGGTTAAGTTAGCAATTTGTGATAATAAAACTACAGTGCTTATTAGTTGCAGAGAAGCTCGTTTTGTGACGGTAAGCTAATATAACATCAACGGAGTTCAACTTGAGTTTGACTGATGCTTTAGTCAGACTAATATAGCAACTAACTGACAATCTAGCTCTTCCAGTTGCTTGAGTTTCTAATAATTTCCTGGGGAGAGATCATAGTTGCTAGCAATATGCCTTTGCCCCCACCTTCGCTCCTATTTGCTAGCCTCTGGAAAGAAATAGGAATTGCTTAGTTGGGTCCTTAAAGTTTTCAAAAGATTGTTGTTCATTTACCAGCAGTGGAAAATTTTCAATCATCATTAGTTTAATATGGATGACCTCTGCCTGGCTAATGTGTGAAACGTTAGCCTTTTTTTTATATGGTGGTGTCTGGGTCAGCTTGGACACAACTCGACTATGCACCTAACTACCTCCTGGAAGGCTAGAACCAATATTTGTGTGCGTATTGAAATGCATTTGCATGCGAGCACCACATCTGTATTAGTGGGTATATTTTGTTTGGCAGTAAAAACTTTGCTTATTTATATCTTTTTTCAGATATTGATTGCTTGTTATGTACACATTTATGAATTTGATGGTGAACCGAACTTTTGACAGGAAGGTCTTGTAGAGATCAGAGAAGACTATGCTGAGGAAACTTCTCCTGAAGAGTCATCCACAGTTGGCATGTTTCCACCTCTTACTGATTTCTAGGCTAGATATAAAGATTTTTAATATAGTCATATTCCAGTTTCTGTTTGAAATATTGACAAAAATTTGTACTGGTTTATTTTCCAGGCATCCTGAAACCTGAGCTTCCAATTTCTTCTGAAGGAGACGATGCTGAACTTGCAGTTGAAAATGAGGAATATGCTCGCATTTTATCCCGGATTGCCGAGCTTGAGAAGGAAGAAGAAGAGGCTGAAAATCCCGAACTTGAGAAGGAAGAAGAAGAAGCTGAAATTGACAATAAATTCAATGAAGAAGAGCTGGGTAAATCTGGATTAGATGTCAGCACAGGTCAATACATCCGGGACCAAGAAATAAACAATTCTGGAGTAGGTTGCTGGTCATTGACTTTAGATGAAAAGATTGAATTATGGAATGCTTAAATGCATATTATCATTGTTGTTGCTAAATGCCATTTGGTATACTATTTAGGTGCGTGGTTCTAGTAATCTCAAGGAAAGAGCAGCATCTTCAAGAGATCACTCCATTGAAAGTTTTCCTGAACAGCTGCACGTACGAACCCTTCCCTCCTTTGGAACATATATTCCAGAATTAAATAATTGTCAGTTAACTGTTTTTGTTAATAGAACTTCCCTGCTGCAAGTAAATCCCTACAATGTATGAATAATTTTTTTTTTTTAATCCATGTGAAATTTTGAAATGCAGGTTGAAAGTTCAAAATCAGTAACTAAAGGTAAGCCCTTCCCACGAATGTTTTTATTAAACTATCTGTGTTCATGTGCCTGCTTCCTGCTGGATTTTTGCAAATCTACTTGGATAGCATGATAGAAATATGCAGGTGATTCGCTTCACTCTGATACTTCATGTTATATTCAAGAACCTTTCTGGAAATTTGTCATAGTAAATGATAAAATCTTCCAAACTAACAAGCCTTCTGAACATAGTATTAACTTTGTCCTTCGACTACTCTCTGCTAATGAGGCCCGTAATATTGGTGCTTTATCTGTTTTCTCTAGTGATATCCTGTACAATATTTTTATTGTAACATTCTGCATTGAGAGATGAAACCAAAAGAAGTGTGATTTATTTTCTTTTTCATGTCCCATTTATAGTTATCGATAACCATTATTATCATTGAACATCTAAAATAAATCCGAGGAGGCTTGAAGCTATCCTTATTGCCTGCTGCGAATCAATAAAGTTCATTAGTTATTTTCTTGATTTCAGAACTCATCATCTTTTGTTTATCTTAGCGGAATCGGTTTCTAATGAAGCACGCTGAAGTGAAAATTTCACGGGAGGAACAAATAAATTGGAAATGACATTGTAACTCGATAGATTTCTGCTTGACCTTCTTCCCATTGCCTGCAAATGCATTTTGATCTTTTTAGATCTCCATATTATAGTTAAACCGAAACTTCAATATATCTTAATCATTTCCGTATGTTGTACAGTGCATGCTTTATGTGCTTACATTTGCTTTTCCATTTCATTTTGAAATGATTTTATGCATTAAACCAGATGAATGCTTAGCTTGGAGCCTAGCTTCTGACGAGTCCAATGTTACTGAGAATGCTCCAAAACAGAATCGAATGAAGGAGGATACTAATGTTCCTATGATAGCTGAAAATAAGGTACGGTTCTCTCCATTTAGTTCACTCTTACCCAGCATGAGCCCATTTGTGTTTCTCTCCACGACTCCAACCCCACCTCTCTCTCTCTTATTCTCTGCTCTTCCCTCTTCTATTTTATCTTTTATCGTGTTGAGAGACAAAGCATGGGTCTACCACATTAAATGAGAACAATTGCGTTTCTATTTTATGTTACCCCTTAAATAATAAATGACGTCTTGGTTTGTTCATGTTGTCTGTTAGTGCCCTTGTGCTCAGTCTTTCACTATGGTGCACATCCGTTTGTGTATTCATATCGTATACGAAAATAGTGGTCGAAGCATATATTCTTTGTTGTGGCAGCTGGAGGAAAGGAAAATAGACCTACATTTTTCATTTGATTACTTATGTCCATCAAAAATGTCATTATCGCATGGCACCGGCGTCATTTTGCATGACAATCACTGCATTATTGATCATTTTGCTGGTAGCTGCTCTGATTCAACTTATTGGAGTATTCTTATATTGCTCTGTAACAAGACAGTTGTATGCATATTTTGCCTTGTATTAGACTTATTAGGACTATGATTTAAATGCTTTGCCTGTATGCCTTTTTCCTGTACCTCCTAATCAGAAGTAAACTACATTCCCATACAATTATACTTTTTGCTCAGAATTAGCCGAAAATACCACTGTGCAGGCTTTTACTGGAAGTATTGTTGAACGCGCTGGTGCCTTTGATATCAAGCCAAGCGAGCAGACTGTTGGTCGTAGCACAAAGCCAGTATCAAGGTTCAAAATGCAGAGGAAATAGATGTCTATTTCGGTTGAGTACTTGATTTTGGACATTCTCTTGTTGAAAAATGCCGATGTTGTATTTTTGCAAGTTCAAAATAGACACCTTGAACTTAACAATATCAGTAGAAATGGTTAGTTTACACACCATCATGGAAGACACTTTAGTCTCCATAGAGACTGTTTCCGATCCTCGACTCAAGAAGACGAAAAGAGATATATCAGTACCATCAACCGAAATCAGGAAATAGATGAAAAACAAAAACAATAACAGATTAAAAAAAATCCTCTCCTAACCACTCTAGTAATATCCCCAATTGACTCCTAACAAAAAAGAACCCAAGGAAGTGGGGAATCACTAATACTAATAATGGAAACAGGATTGGCTAGCTTCTACGCTTCTCCTTGTATAAGGAAATTACTTCTTCTCATTCTAGATGCCTAGTCTTAAGCACATGTAATAAACAAGATAGTAAGGTGAAAAATAAAAAGAAAATAGGGATGATTAGGAAGCTCGTCACTTAATTTGATTGCTACTAGTATAATTATCATATTTCTAGACAAGAAATAGTTTTAATTCATTGGTTTTGTTGAGTTTTAAGTTAGGTCGAATTCAATTTTACTTGACCACAAATTCTAACCACAGAGGTCCTCTCAAATATTTGAAAAAATATGAGCTAGTTGAGGTTAGAAACCTCTAACCTCTTAGAACAAAATCAAACACATAATCAATGCACCATAAGACAATCTGTACATGTCAAACGGTGTCATTTTTTCCTACTTATCTGATGTCTCACAGGATTAATACATATATTTAGTAAAGTTTTTTGACGAAGCGATATTACGTGAACCGCTTCGTTGAACGTGTGTCCGCCCCTAATTGCGCCGGAGCAGAGTTTACCCAGAGCGCTCTCGACGAGCAACAGCTGTGAGTTCCCTAGTTTAGAGGAAAAAAGATGTTGACAGAATATAAATTGCCAATGATCTGAAAGTGTTAATTATAATAATATTCCAGGTCAAGAAAGGTAAATATAACTGATTCCATTAAAATTTAAATTGACGATGATTGAATCGTTTTCATAAATGAAAAACGAGGAGTCTATAACGAATTATTCTTAGAATACACCTAACCATATGGTTATTATTAGCTGTAGAAAAAATAATTAAATCACGGATAGAACTTTGTCTCTTATGAAATGCTATATAATCAAAATCCTGTTAAAAGATTCTATAGTTTTCGAAGTGTTTAAGAATCTGATTAACTAATAAAAATTAATTTCTATAAGCTGTTTTTTTAATAACAGTAGCATGATATTATTTTAATTGATTTAATGGGCTAGAAAAGCTATAGAAACTAATAAGTTGTTAGGCATTTTTACGGAATTTTCCTTTCAAGTTTTATAATTTTCAAACCTTATAGAATTTCCTAATCAGGGATTATGCAAAATTAATGTCCAATAATTTAGTCTTGCAAAAAAATAATAAAATAGTAACGGACAATAAAGTGGTTAATTGGAACGTTATTTTTTCTTCATTATGACTGCTAATAATTAGTAAAAACTTGGCTATACACGTTATATTTTGTCCAACGTACATACTATTTTTTTCCCGGAGTAATAATAACAATTTGCTTCCTCATTTGGTTATTTGTAGAATGAGTTACTCCAACTTTTATATACTGATAATATAAATATCTTATTTTATCAGCTAACTTAAAAATATATGATCGTCCATGAATAAGTGAGAATTATTACCTAAAAAATAAGAAAAGTAACACGTTACAATAAGTTAAAATACATTATAAATAGTGTAAATTTTTTTGTATTGTTAAGAAAATTGTTATTTTCGTATTTGGAATGACATTTTTGCCAGCATACATACTATTTTTTTCCCGAGTAATTATAACAATTTACTTTCTCGTTTGCTTATTTATAGAATAAGTTACTCCAACTTTTATATGTTATAACAAGTTAAAATACACTGATATTATAATTTTTTTTCATACTGTTAAGCAAAACATTATTTTCGAATTTGGAATTCGCCAACATACATACTATTTTTTCTCGAGTAATTACAATAATTTGCTTCTTCGTTTGCTTATTTTTAGAATGAGTTACTCCAACTTTTATACATTGACAGTACGACAATAATAAGAGCAAGCCCAGTGTAATCCCACAAGTGGGGATGCAGAGGGTAGTGTATACGCAGACCTTACCCCTATCTTAAGAAGATAGAGAAGTTGTTTCCAATAGACCATCGGTTCAAGATCTAGATGAAAAAAATAGTAGCTAGTATCAACAAGCAGTAACAATAGCAAATAATAAAAATCGAAGCGAAAGAAACATGTATCTTATTTTATCAGCCAACTTAAAAAATAGCTATAGATTATCGTCCATAATAAGTGAGATTTATTACTTAGAAAATAGAAAAAGTAACATGTTACAACAATGTAAAACATTGATAGTAAGAAATAAATAAATTATACCGTTAAGAAAAACGTTATTTTCGAATTTGGAATGACATTTTATTTCTCCAGTAGAAGGCAAGATGTAAACATTTTTCAGGAAAATACAATTCATTCATCATTAAACATTTAAACTCTACCTCACCAAATTTATGAGGTTTTAACATATAGTAACAAATTCACAGCTAAGATTTTCCATATACACCCAAAATAACCCAACGGTAAACTCATACACTATCTCTATAAATATTGCTAGTAGTTTTCCACTAATAATCCCCCCAAAAATTCTCCTAATTGTCTACCATTTTTCTCTCTTCTATTTTCTTCCTCATTGGTTGCAATTTGCATCTTTAGACTGCTGAATTTTTCACTCTTCTTTTTGAATTCCTGAAATCATGGAATATCCTTTATATATTAGCTTTTTATTTCTGATTTTCTTGGGATTTTTCTGCTCATCTCAAGCTTATATATTCTATGCTGGTGGTAAAAATGGTTGGATTTTAAAGCCTTCTGAATCATACAATCATTGGGCCGAAAGAAATCGCTTTCAAGTCAATGATACCATTGGTAAACATATATAAGCGAATTCACGATTTTAATTTTATTGCTTCAATATTTAAATTTTTTAGTACTGAATTTACTATACTGTTAAATTTATGGTCGTAATTTAATATTTGTTGCATTTTTACTATTTTTCACACACACACACATATATATATATTAATATTACGTGTTAAAAAATATTAGCACTAAGGCTACATCCGCCACTGAATACATATACTTTTTGTATTTGTGTTGCATTCTATTGATTGTCACGTATTTAACATATTGAGATGATAAGCAACTTGCCTTATTTTTTAGGTTATAGTCTCACTTTTCGCACACTATTATTGTAGTTATCTTTTAAATAATCTTATAATATTTTATACTGTCAGAGCATAAAACTTAAATTTATTTATTTATTATTTCATTCTTTTTAGATTTTTCTTGTTTAAATGAGTTGATTTCTTGATTTTTTTTTCTCATTGTAGTTTTCAATTACAAGAAAGGCCATGATTCAGTTGTCATAGTTCACAAAGATGATTACATCAAATGCAAAAAGGACAAGCCAATCCATGCTCTCAAAAATGGTCATTCCAAATTCAAGTTTCCAAAATCAGGTCCATTCTATTTCATAAGTGGACATGCTAATAATTGCAAAAATGGCCAGAAATTAATTGTTGTTGTGTTATCTCCCAATCACAATAAGACATCTATCGAAACGACGTCACCTTCACCAGCACCAGCTCCTACAAAGTCAGCTGCAGCTAGTATTGGTTCAAGTGGTTTGTTTTGGTTCTTTAGTTTGATAATGGCAGCAATATTTAGTAGCTTGGTTTAATTGTTTAAGTAGTTTAGTTTATTTTTTATGTCGTTTAATTTGTTTCTTTTGGATGGCTTATAGACAAGATAGTTACTCGTGTATTTTCCTTTTTCATTTGATTTATTATATTATGCTTTGATTCATACAAAATGTGCGTCAAACTAAATAATTTAACTTTAAACGTTACGATTTAGTAGATGCAAGTCTTTTCAACTTTGTGGTCGAAAATTTTATGACATTATTGACTACAGGAAGAAAAATATTCAATTACTTATAATATTGGTAAAAATTAGTATATAATTTTACATGATCAGTAAAAGTTACTGTAAATTAAATAATATAGCTTTTAACTTTTGAAGAACAGTGCCGTGTTTCATCATAGAGAATGCGCTATCTTAGCTCAACTTCTGTTTATGGTTTCAAAATAATTTTGATGCTTTTGGTTCATTAAAACTTTGAATCATTTGGGTTTATATGTAAAAAGAATTTTTATTCTGTAAAGTTACTTAGAAATAAAGTATTACTACTAATTAGTTATATATCTATAATACCTTGCTTTGATCGTGAACAAAGTACTATAACAAGTTAGACAGCACTAATCATATAAAATTTATTTTATGTCAATATGTATACCATTTTGATACTTCAAACGATTTTTTTTTTTGGGGTGGAG